TTTAAAAAGTAACTTCAGAAGGCTGACATAACATTTCTTGTTTGTGATATTGATGGCAAACTGAGAATGTATAATTACAAAACATCAAACATGACCGGAAACATCCAGATTTTACTGCTAACTCAATTTTTTTTCTAGGTCTTAATGCAAAGCACATCAAACAAATTTCCTGTCAATCTGATTTTAACATTTGTGAAGCCACGTTGTTCCAGTAAGGCTCGATATTCAGAGCCACTTCTCTCCTTTCCCTCTGTCTGCACAAGCATGCTCAAAGACTGCAGCAGAGCTGTGCTCCTGTTCTTCTCAGCATCTAATACCATTTCAGCCAGCAAAATCTCTCAGCCTAATTTAAGAACAAATGCGTGCAACAGTACCAATCCATTATCAGGCAAAAGATTTTCTGCTACCGTATATAAGGGTGCAAACTACAAGACACAGGTGATTTCATTTATCATTTATGGATTTGCTCTGCCATTAAATGACTAATCCACTATGAAATGTAAATCCACTCCTCTCCTAAAACCCAGGAAATTCCCTTCCACACTACGGAGGAATCAAACACTCATAAGTCAAGTCACGTCTCTGTTTGCAGGGGAAGAGGGGATGACTTCTGTAGACTTGGCATGAGGGTTATGGCAAACAGGAAGACGGGAATAGGAGTTACATCTCTTTGGGACACATTGCTGCTTCACATTCATACTGAAATGATGCCAAGCAGACAAAACAGTGGATGGCGAGCATTGTAGAAGCAGAGAAGTCAATGTTGCGCATTACTTCTGGAGGAACGGAGGTCTTTGTGGTAGGGAATGCGAGCAGAACTTAAATGATCCTGTTTACACACAGCCTCCTCCTCCATCTTCAGACCCGTGAGGGGAGAGGGAAGACAAGAGAGGGCTATTGACAAAACGAGCATTGTTTTACTTATTGTCTTTTGGCCTTGCGTTTTATGTGGTGGTTTCTCTTGGCACAGTGAGGGTAGGAGGCCACCAACTCAGATCAAAATAGCAGCATTTTACAGTGATTGTAGTACTACTAAGTGCTGCATAACATTCATATCTTTCTGACCCTTAAGACGTTATCTTCTCAGAGCCATTCCTACCCATACACCTCAGACATTTAACAATTGATAAAAAGTAAAGTAAACATAATGCTGCAGTTTCTTAGAGAAGAAACTGAAGTCTGCAGATAAAATTGCTGCTGTTAACTATGAGGAGTCATGAAAGTCCTTCTGACAGCTTGTTAATAAATTCCCTGTTTCTTCCCCTTATCATCAGCTACCTTACTAAATGCAAGTTGAAGCCACCTACCCTGTGACAAACCCATGACACAGGTTTGCTTCACAAAGGATTAGCCAAGCCTGTCTGAGGTGAGCCTGAACCTACACTGTCTGTCCAGTGGGACTCTTCTGCCCTAATTCAGTCCTCCATAGATGAGATGGCTGTATTTCAGCTAGGCCTCTTAAAGATGCTGTATGCACTATGAAACGTATAACCACTTTTCTTAGGAAAACCAAGAAATTTCCTTTCACAGATAGGTGAGACGAATCATCCTCTGAAAAATGCCTGTTCTTCTACTGACTAGAGAGCTCAAGGTGACTAGATGATTTGAATGCCTAATATTTAGGTGTCTGAAGTTAGGGTGATGAAGCCCATTTGTTACGACTCAGTAGTTTCTAATTCCCTCCCCCCCTTCCCGTGTGATTCTCCTTTGCCTTCAAGAGACCTGGGAATCGCTGTTCCTGCTTACACAGCAAACATTCCTAGGTAGAGTAATGCAGGACTATAATTTCTAAGTCGCCATTATATTACAGCTTTGGAAGACAGTGTCCAAATTTTGTACACTCTGAAGGGAGGACACAAATAGAATGGTCATTACAATTGGCCACAGAAAGTTATTTGGGACATCCAGATAACATCAGAGTAATCTCGAAAAAGAGACCCAGAAAGCACAATCAATGTGGGAAGAACACCTTCAAAAATTAGACATGGTAAATTAAGTTAGTACAGGGAAAAAGAGAAAAAAAATCATCTCTCTACAGTTAATGAACATTTACTAATGTAATTAAAATTTTTTCATGAGAGGGACTGAAACAGAGCTAACTTTCAACCTTCCAGGAAGCAGACTTTTAACAAGAAATTTTGACTGTGGTTTTATAGGAAATAAAAATTAATGGTCATAACAGCCTTTTCTGAATTAGAAAGTCATTTAATCCAGATTATCATTGTTTAGCAAGGACATAATTTCCAGACAAAAGATGAGGTGGAGGGGGCAGTAAAGAGCCAGCCCTTCAAAAACTTTTTTTAAAAACAAAACAAAAACCCATATTAAATACTTCCATAAGTCAGCTAGCACATCCAAAACTGAACCAAGAGCTCACACAAAGAAGCTTAGCCATTAAATTGCTCTTCCTAAGCTTTTGTGCTGGGTGGCTCAGATGACATACTACCCTTTGCTTCTGTCCCATTACTTTTCCAGGCACAAGTACTGTCAATAGCTGTAACAAGGTCAAAAACTGATATAAAAATTATTTGAGCTAGGACAGTCAACCAAGTTGTGTCTCTTCTTTCTTACAACCTTCTCTTTCTATCTTCCTGAAGGATTCTTACCTCAGTGTTCAGTGAGCGAGTGCTGAAGTTTTTGTTTCTATTATTAATCTATCATTGTGATAACCCCCACAATTCTCCACCTCAAAAAATTGTTCTCTGTGCATCACATTTCCTCTATATGGTTGTTAAGGCAGAATGTGGGTAAAAGACAGCATTTTCAAGAAGGCACAGCTGAATGTCGCTTCCCAAGGAGCAACACAAAACCTACAGGCTTTATTAGCAGAAGTTCATTTGGATTTTAAAACTTGGCCCTCTCATTCTTAGTGTCTTGATTAGTGAACAGGCCCAAAATTTCCTCAGTTACACCTGTTGCTTAGGAAGTGTAACACCATTAAATCCACCTTGTCCAACAGTCAGCAAAAGATACCAGCTTTCTCCAGAGCAACTGAAAAACTCAATTTGGACATTAATGAGAGAAGACAAGTTTATAATTTCTCAGGTGACTGGGCTACGTCATATGATTATAAACAGCTTGGGCTGAAATGGACCACAGGAGATCATCAGTCCAACCTCCCGCTCAAAGCAGGGCAGCTCTACAGTCAGCTCAGCTTGTTCAGGGCTTTGAAACCTCCAAGGACAGAGATTCCACAAGCTCTCTGGGGAACCTGCTCCAAGGCTTAATTATCCTGAGAGTGCAAAGCTGCGGTGCATTACCACAGACACCATGCCCAAGGGACTAATGCTTAGTGTGTATAGAGTGTTGTGCTTTAATCACAGAGTATGTTGGGGTTTTCTGGTAGCCAAGCACGTTCTATTCAAATTTTACAGTCAGATACATAGTACTTAGAGGCACAGTTTTAAAGTCCATGACAGTTACAGGTGTGCTAACTTTAGCATTGAAATTTTCTGACTCAGCTTATAGCAGCTTAAAAGAATAGCATTATGAACTTTATGAATAACCATGAGAGGAGAAACATCTGCTTGCTGGAATGAATCTCTCTCAAAATATAAACCTGTTAAACCTAATGGCAAGCTTCATGTCAATATGGAAAAGAAACATTTTAAATTTGTTCAGCTGTTGTGTACAGACATTTAAAGAGATAAGGCAGAATACTCATGAGATCAGTCAAATTTCCATTCATAAAAACCCTAACATGGCAAAAGTCTGACATTTTCTTGATTTTGTGCAGCTGAAGTGCTCTGTAGTAAGCATGTTCCTCATGATGAACCGAATCACAGTGGCACTTTTGCTTTACTCAGTGCTCAAAGAGCAAAGTAACTTCTGATTAAGTAACATAAGACAGAGTCTACTAGGCAGATGCAACTCTTGACCTTGCTCATCAACTCTTTAATTTGCTGACGTTGGTGATTCAGCATAGGCACAGCCTCTTTCACACTGGCTTTTGGGATTATTGCTGTGTGGAAGCGTGACAGGCAAGAAACTCACAACCGATAGAGAAGCAAGCTAGTTTCAAAATGCAATTTTAATCTCCAGGAAGACTTCCACTACAAAGTACACTTTAAATAGAAAAAATAAATATCAATGAAGTATCAGGAAAAAAAATAAACATTAGGAGAGGTGACATTAGTGACAAATTACTTGAAGAGATGGGATACAGTATGTACTTCTCCAATTAAAGACTGGAACATGAAGAAACTTCTATTTTTAATTTTCCTAAGAGAATTTATATATAAATCCTAAAACTCATCTCAAGCAATGAGACAGAAAGCATATATGGCCATTTAACCATATTCAGAAAAACATGAAACTGATAGGAACAGTTCAACTGCTGCCTGTGTGGGTACACACTGTGGCTGGAAGTCAGGGGCTGCGGAAGTTTCTCTGACATTATAGCTGCTGTAGGACATGTTGGAGCTTTGTCCTATTTTCACTTTTGCCTGCAGAAAAAGTGCTTGAAAAAAAAACAAACAACAGGTATCCTTGAGATGTTTTTGAGTAAATCCCCACAGAAGAGTGAAAAAGAGGACTAGCATCTCCAAATTCAGACAGATGGTACAGCATTAATTTTTATTTTTTCATTTCTGATAAAAAATGAGCAGTAACCACTGAATACACTGCAGAGGGAGACTCTCTTTAATTTTAAGGTCCAAGAAAACTAAGGTATTAATGTGGCTCATAAATGCTTGTAGTTTTAACTTGCCATGCCTTACAGCTTTGTCCAGTCTAGGCTTAATATGGTCTGCAAATTAGCCAAAAGAACTGGACATGAAGGTGTTTAATACATAGGAGTTTTGGCCTGCCCAAGACGCTTTTTAAATGCGTAAGACTCTCTGCTGCAGAAGCTGCAGTCCAACTTTTATTCAAGGCCTGTAACAACTATGCTTCAGATTAAGGGTCAAAATGATCCTAAACTGACAGTATGTGCTGGTTGATGATGGGTATATTGCACAAGTGTTGTAAGAACTCAGCATCCCAGTTTGCTTCTGGATACACTACAGTGACAGATTCTTCTTGAAGCACAAAACAGCATCTAATAAGTTTCCTGTGATCTTAATTTGTACATTTGTGAATCCGTATTTCTCCAGTAGCTGTGTATATTCTGAGCCACTTCTCTGCTTGCCTTCAGTCATACTGAGGGACTGTAGTACAGCTCTAGGAGGGTGCGTCTTCTGTTCATCAAGCACAATTTCTGCCACTAGCAAGGCACTTCCTGCATTTCCAAAACAACCAAAAGTGGTTCAGTAAAGTACTTCTAGCTTCAGGTTTAATGTTTTGTTCACAGACAGTTATAGAGGTCCCTCAGACCAGTGTTTTAATGGTCTTCAGCAGAAATCAGTGACAGAACTTTACTTTCAGTAATCTCTTCCTGGAAGCAACCATTTAATTGTTAAAAGGAAGAGGGAGTTCAGATCACTTCCTGACTATGCTCTTAAACTCAGTCTTGTTTCCTTTATAATCATGCAACTCTTGTAAGCATGTCATACCCCAGTCTTTGCATAAGAAGATTAAGATAGTCACTCACAATTACGCTTTATGGCCTAGATCTAATTTTGAATGCTCTCCTATGAAACAAACTTCATAGCTACAATTAAGCCTGTTGGATTAATGAATCAGTTGATCTTAGCAGTCAGGCTTTTCTGCTTTTTGTCTTCTCCTTTGATCTTTAATACTGTCCAAATGCGAGTCAAAAGTGCCCTGGCAGCCAAAAGCGCCAACCGTGTCCTGGGGTGCATCAAGCACAGCACAGCCAGCCAGTCGAGGGAAGCAATTGTCCCACTCTGCACTGCATTGGTGTGGCCCCCCCTCAAGTACTGCGTGCAGTTTTGGGTGCCTTGATATCAGAAGGATAGGGTTAGAGGGTGTCCTGTTAGAGGGTGTCCAGAGGAGCGTTACCACGATGGTGAAAGGCCTTGAGGGCAAGACTTCTGAGGAGTGGCTGAGGTCACTTGGTTTGTTCAGCCTGGAGAAGAGAAGGCTGAGGGGTGCCCTCATCGCCATCTACACCTTCAAGGAAGGCAGCGGAGGTGGAGGTGCTGATCTCTCTGGTGACCAGCGATAGGACACGAGGAAATGGAATGAAGCTGGGTCAGGAGAAGTTCAGATTGGACATTAAAAACAGGCCCTTCGCTCAGAGGGTGGACGGTCACTGGAACAGGCTTCCCAGGGAAGTGGTCACAGCACCAAGCCTGTCAGAGTTCAAGGAGCATCTGGACAATGCTCTTAGTCATATGGCTTAGTTTCAGGTAGTCCTGTGAGGAGCAGGGAGTTGGACTTCATGATCCTTATGGGTCCCTTCCAACTCAAGATATTCTATGACTCAAATGTAGCAGAAAGCAGAAAAGGCTACAACTTTCTCAAGAAATCTCAGCATAAAGTAGTGCTGATCTTCAGTTTACCATATTCTGGGCACCACTGAGATATCAAAATGATAGCACAACAAACTGCTGTTTCTTGATTAACCTAAAGGAATTTCAGTTAGACTACTTGTATGTATAGAGATAAGCACTTGCTTAGTTATGTGACGATACAGGGCTTAGTAAAAAAGACTGGGCATGGCAGAGATAGGGGAGATGACATAGTTGTATGTGAAGCCTGCAACTATAGTCAGGGCTCATTTTATGTAGTTTTATTAGCAGCTTTGCTTCCTTTTTTTCTTAGTAGGTATTACCATAATGCAAGCATAGATGTTCAAGCAAAGGCTACTATGATTAGACAGAAAAATATGCTTTTTTTCATATGAACTTCTTACGATTACTCATTGTGTTTATGTATTAACACGCACCTTTAAGCCCACAAGATGAAAAAACATACCTGGTTTGCAAACAGCTGATATCTTGCTTAACAGCACATGTACCTTTCCATCAGGCCAGTCATGAAGAACACGTGAAAGGATGTAAAGATCTGCTTCTGGAAGATTATCCTTGAAGAAGTCACCTGTTGGAAAGCAGAGTTAGTACATTTCTACAGAAACCACAGAATACATTCCTACAAAATGAAATTAAAGGATTGCAGAGGAACTACGAGCTTCAGTAGAGGTAAAGAAAGAAACAGGAATGAACAGGTATAGGTATGTACTGATTTGCAGATAAGGAAAGCATAATTAAAGAGAAGAGCACATCACAGGTAAGAATTCTGTAATATATAAAAATGGAGAGAAAGCCTAAAACAAGGAAGGAGACATCGAAGTCTTTCGTAGTCATTATGTTGATTTTGCCTAGAAAAGCCTGAGACAACAACATGCAACCTCTTCTCACAGTGGTATTCAAAAATGACTAAGTCATACTTCCTTATTTATCCACATTCTCCAGATACAGCCAGTTTGTTTTTATTCCCCCAGACCTGAGAAATACAATGTCCCCATTTAGCACGGGCATGGGTGCATCTGCATTGCCTTGGACTAATACACGTTTTGGGTTGAAGCACGGTAGCACACTATTTTCTGCAGCAAAAGAGCCTGTTCTGTGCTCCAAGACAAGAGAAATAAGAGAAAAGATCATGTGTTACATTTACCTGATACAAATGTCACTGGACCTATGTGTTGTCCTGAAGGCTGAAAGCAAGAGGTGTTTGCAATGACTTCTGGAAGGTCAAATACTGTGACCTTGAGATCTGGGTATATTTGTACTAATTCATGAGCCAGAGCTCCAGTACAACCTGTTCAAAGTTTAAAAAAGTCAAATCAAGTCTCTTCTCCCAGCATTTGCAGACATTTTTAAAGACAAGGTTGTATATAACATTAAAATAGAGACATCAAATCAGAATTGGAGGTAGACAGTCAGCTCCACAGTTAACATGGGCAATAGCACTTCCTAGTGGATAGAGCAATGCTTTAAAGCTTGGGGAATGCAGGCATGACTCCTTACTGTCATAGAATTGCTAATATGACCTTTGATACCAGTACCTCAGGGTTTTTTTTGGGGTAGAAGAACATTAATGAAAGGGCAAGGACTTGTAATTTGTGGATGAAGAACACTAGAACAATCTACCATTTACAAAGCACTGATATATGAAGTTTGATAAATACTCTCCAGCACGGTGAGGGATAGAGATGGTAAAGCCTTGGATTCTGCCCAACTGGCAAAGGTTGCACTAAGTATTGTGTTAATTCCTCTGACGTGCTGTCCACCTCCCCAAGCACTAAGCAAAGTGTTCTTTCTTCAGTGGATCTTTGCCTATGTCATCACACTCCCTCTGTGCAACTCCAAGCACAGGGCAAAAAAGGACACTAACAAGAGTTTCTTCAGGTGTATCATTGGTCTTCAACATTTTGGTGGTCATCTTAGATAATAATTAAAACACCACACAAAACAAACCAATTCTAAAAGAATCAAAACTTTTTGTTCTAGCAGTGCAATGTTTAAAGTTTGACATCCCAATATAAAAGAATTCAGAAATAAATCCTTCGTTACTTTTGAAGATCTTGGACGTGCCAAAGGACAGCAACAGCACAGCAGAAAATGGAGCTCCCAGCCCAGTATTCTGTCAGCTGAGCTACAAACCATCTTGTTGTCTGTGTTGAGCTGTGTCAGTATGTAACAATTGTGACAAACACTCCTTTATTTCTAACAACTCAAATACCACTTATGTAACTCTGCTTTCAGTTAATTGCACTCAGTCCTTTTATTCTGACATTACAATACCAGAAAAATAACAGTAGATAATATTACAGCATTTTTAGTAAAAAAATATATGTATGTTCTAAGTAATAAAATACAGAAATGAAACCAAGCTTTTCCCTCTAATTTGTATACAAGTTCAATTACAGGCAATACCTCCTAAATCGCAAGCAGATTTAAACCGTGAAAGATCAAATGCTGTAGCCACATCCCTTGCTGTCAGGTGGGCAATGCTGTGCATGGCAGCCATAAAACACTGCTTCACCTCCTGGCTGTGATTATAGTCCTAAAAAGGGAAAAAAGCACAGTAATTGAAGTTTATTTTCATTTCTTAACTAAAACTACATACAACCAAGGCAGTAGGTACACACCATTAACATTAGAATTCTAAAATTAAAAGATCAGTTAAAAGTGCCATTAGCTGTTGCTCATCCAAGTCCTTTGCTATTTCACTGTAGTGATAAGCAGATTTTTGCATCCTCTCAAGAATTCTGATCACACAGATATCTTCTGCAGTGCATCTCGAAAGACATACACTTGTCTGGTTTGAACTTGGTCTTGGTGATGTCCCAAAGGCTGTTAAATTCAACACTTCTGCCTATGGAAGCTTGGGCAGCATAGCAGGAAGAAGGGATAATCTGAAAAGTGCTTTTTAAAGAAATACTGTGCCTTTGATATACTTTTACTAACACATTTGCTCCACTGCAGGCCATCTCCAGACTAAATTTCTTGAAAGGGCAGACTTGAGTTTTTTCTTTCAGTCTCCTAAAGTGTTCCTCCTTCTTGATATACTCACAAATTGCTTTCATTTAATTCTGATATTTATTCTCCCATTATGGGAAAATAACTAGATGATTGGACCATAACTTAAACTAGAAACAGTAAAGCTCATAGTGGCTTTTTTGATTAGGGGAGAAGCAGGCATTCAGTACCAGAACCTCATGCCTTTACCTTTGAAATGATATATAAGCATGAATCTCTATGTCTCACTTTCATAAAAATTTTGAAAGATTCCTAAAGGACCTTCTGCCCACCAGTAATCTAGGTACTAATATTAGGCTAACAGGACCTTCTTAAGTCTCCAAAAGCCCTTATTTCCTTCCATCAACTGTGTATGATGGATATTGACATCTCCTTTAGGAAACTGGCTTTATTAGCATCTAGAAGTTAAATACAAATTAAGAACCTCAGGATGTAGTCTAAAGTACACTTTAAGCCAGCACTGCTGTCAGAGATGAAGACCTGACATATTCTCCTGCTTACTTTACTAGCCCTCTCCTTAAACAGGCACAAATATTTATGCCCCTCAACCTGCCTTGTCAGGTGGGTAATTGACAAGTTCAGCTAGTTATAACCCTAAGTGATTCTCTAGTCTGAACACATCCACCTGGGCTAGCATTGCAAAAGGAATGCTACAGAGATGGAAAGAGATGGAAGAAAGGATTACAACTCTTATCAGCAATATATACCAGCTTGAAGCTTATACAAAACTACAAACCTTCATAAAACAGGTTAGATCCCTTCTCCACTGCATCAACACAAAGCAACTTTGAAAATAGTTTTGATTACACAGTCAGCAAGGATTGAACTGGATGCGCATCAGTACCAAGTGATTGACATCCGATATGGAAGGGGTGCATATGTGATACAGTACTATCTGGTGTTTAAAAAGGACACATAAATGTAAATTAAACAGGCCCGCCCAGAGAGTGTGTTAGCTGGATGGGCAACACTTTAGGCAGAGAATTTTCATCAGCACTCAAATTTCCCAGTATGTTCTGTGATTGCTCCAGCACTTTAGAACCTAAAGTTGAAGGGAACAGAAGTCTGGGACAAGTGAGTTGCACTGGGTTTCTACCACTTCTGAGACTGACCAACATTCTTAGACAGCAGAGTCTCCATCTGCGCCTACATCAGTTCTGGGCTCCTCACACCTAGTTTTGATACTAATAAGAGTTTATATTACCTTAAATAAATCCTCTGCTTTCTCTCCAAAGGCTCGATGGTTCTGCCTACTGCCTTCTTTGACAGCAGACTCCAAGTGTGTGAAGAGAGGCCAAAGGTGGTCATTAGAGTGAATAATACAGCCATGAAGTGAGTATTCACCATCTGAGGTCAGGTAGGAATTTGCTGAATCTGTATTACTGTAACCTTATAGGAAGAAAACAATTGTAACCAGCTTTGTTTCAGTACTTTACAACTGTCATTGAAAATCTGAAGGCATGTTTTCCAGCATAGCTATTAAATAGCTAGCAAATCCTGATCATATTTTTTGTGCAAAGATTTCTAGGAAATAATTTTAAAAGTCTTCTCATTCTTAAAGGACCAAGTTCTTTGTTTATAAAAAGAATTTAGATGCTGGAAGATAAAGATAGGCACTAAATTTTTTATTCTTTTTTTAAACCAGAGTCCCTCAGTTAGACACCTAATATTCAAGTGAGAGTATCAAAAGTTCCTCATTCTTGACTATATTTTTCTTTAGATTATGGCTTCTCCTTCCCTTAAATTCAAGCTTTCTACAATATGTTTTGCGTTTAGGGCTTTTTCCTTGGTCTTGCCCTCTAACGGAGTTGAAAGGCTCCTTTATTTCCTTTTCTTGGCACTTGACCATTTCAAGTCTTATTATGTAAATGACACGTATGGAAACTAGTAACTACATAGTGCGACTTGAAAGAGTTAATCCTAATACTGACTTCCTCACCTACATATAACTTCAAGCACTGTTCCCATTAGGGGTACTAAAATTTAAGCTGTTGTCCATGAAGAGGAACACATTCCAGAGCTCTCCTTGTTAAAACCCTGATTCTCCGCTGAAGACTGTGACTCCGCATTGCTGCAGCAAGGAGTTACTTTAGACAGAATCACAGATTCATTTAGGTTGGCAAAGACCCTTAAGATCATTAACCTAACACTACCAATTAAACCATGTCCCTAAGCACCACATCTACATGTCTTTTAAATACCTCCAGGGATGGTGACTCCACCACTTCCCTGGGCAGACTGT